ATAATAGTTGTGGACCGAGATTGCAAGGTTTGAAAGTCGTGGATCAATGCTGATAATACCACTATAGTCATAAGACAAAAAATGCGAAAAACTCTAAATAGCCTTTATTTTGTTTTGTTTTTTTTTTTTTTTATTGACATAATTTATTTTCCCCCTTTTCCCTCTTCTGACTTCCTTCTATTTCCTACATGACTTGCAAAAAATACACAAATAAGAAAGTACTTGTTTAGTATATTTTATTTTTATTTTAAAATATTAAGAAGTATTTTTGGGAAATTGACAGAATTAAGCATGTCATGCGTGCCCAGATGGCGCGTGCACTGCATGCACCATCTAGGCGTGTAATGCAGCCTCTTTTTTTCACTGCTTTTCACTCTCTTCTCTAGTCATGTAATCTTGATAAAAATCATGAAAAAGAACTCATGGTTGTTGAAGATACTCTTAGAGTTTTATTTTACTAACTTTCTTGGATTTCAATAAGCACATTTTACGTTTGAAACAAACAATATTAAGAATTAATTCTCAACAATGGCATTGGCTAGTGAGGTTGTTAATCGGTCATATATTGATTTAATTATTCAAGATTGTATTTTCATTATTCTTCCAAAAGGCTGAACCCCAACCCTAAATGTCCCCACACTCCGACCCGACAGAGCATTTGGGAGGATTGTATTTCCATTATTAGTACAATAAATGGTTGTGTTATTCGCTATATTCGAAGGGAGAGGAACTGCTTAGCCCATGCTTTGGCCAAAACGGTGGAGGCCAGGGAGAGGTATACTGAGTGGAATAATGTACTTCCTAATTGTCAAGCACCTTGTGTTTAGATGTCATTTAGTGACCTCTCCCATGTGGGAGATCATAAGATCAAGTCTCAGTGGAAGCGTTGTTGACTCTTTGAGCTTCATTTGATTGAGAGAGTATAGTTGAACAGATACTACAATGTAATAGAGGCAGTTGCGTTCAAAAAATATATATGTCTCCTAATTTTCTTGTCTCTTTGCTTGCCTAGCTAATATCTAGGGTTTTTTTTTTTTTCTTCTTCTTTTTTTTTTTTTTGGTTCTACGTGAAAAAGAATTAATTTTGAAAATAATATTATAATTTTAAAAGAATTTTTTTTTTTTCGTATCTTTCAAACTAAGAATAGTTCCATACTTCAATTTCCTGATTTGGTGGGAAAACAGTAGGCGCACCATCTTTTTAAAATTTGTTACACATATTGTTGTTTTGTCACATCATTACCTTATATTTAAAGCATATATACAAAATATGTTAGCGAAAATATATTGGATGTAAAGAAAACACAGGGAAAACCAAAATTAAGAATTTTAGAAGTGTATCATATACGCTTTCATATAACTTTTTAATCACATTGTATTAGTAACATGAGTTTAAGATAAAATTTGTAAAATACAAGAAGTTGACAAATTTCTCAAGTTGTGATGAGTTAATAATTCAATAAAGAAAGGAAAAAATAATCTTAAAATTTTCTTGAACTTATACTGCATATACAAACGCTAAATAAAGGCAATAATGTTGGAAAAAAAAAACCCACAATGAAGGTTACGAGAAATTCATAAAATTTTGTTACCTCTGTACTATCTCACAAATAAGAAAATAATTTACATTTAATATTTAAATTGTTCAGATAGATATATAATTAGTGAATTTTTAGATAGTATTTTGGTTTAATTATGGGTTAAGACTTAAGATTGCACTAATTCATAATATTTGGTCTTATTTTGTGAATCTTAAAATTTTAGGGCAAGGATAAAAAAAAAAAGTGAAAGATGTTGGGTGATTTATGAAGACTTTTAAGTTGGCTTTAAAGAGATGGAAGACATGGAATCAGAATTACACATGTTGTACTGCATGGGCATATGGGAGAAGCTCATAAAAGTAAATAATGAAGAAAACATAATGGCTAATCTTGTAGTGTCACGCCAATAACATTTTGAATAAACAATTTAAGTCTTATATTTAAGGTTCAACCGTTACACTTGTTTCAAATGTCAAAGATCTCATTCTTCCTTGATGGACCTGAACACATTTTGAGTAAGATTAGCTTCGGGAACATGTATATATATATATATATATATATATATCTTGATCATTAGAGACAACAAGTTTTTCATTCCACTCTTACACTTTTAAATTTCTTTTCTTTTCTTTTTGTTTGGAAAACTTAAATGGATGAGTTGTAAACTCATTGTTTATAGCTAAGGATTATTGAAGCTCGGTTCATTTATACAATAGTGAGTTCTTATTATTTTTAATTTCGGCAACGATTGTAGGTATTTATCAATTTCTATTACTAAATTCTGTGATTATTTTAGTATACATGAGATCGACTTGAGTAGTGAGTAGTGACCAATGCTTAATTTGCTAATTGATCAATTGTCATTTAACCTATCGATCTATTATGGTTGTTAATTTAATCTAGTGGTGCTTAGCAATAACCCAGTGTGTATTTGTTAAGGAGTATTTGGTAATCTAATTGTAAAATAAACTCAGTGTGTGTTTGTTCATCAGGATTTGGGTATTTCTTGTTTCTAATGTTATCAATCAATCAATTGGTAAAGGGAAATAACTATAGAAATTTTTTTTTTAAAAAAATAGAGATGAAAATATTTAATTATTTAGAGCATCCTCAATAGATAATAGCATCCACACCTTGTGGATTTTGATGGTTTTTTCAAAAGTTAAAAATTGTGCTTGGTTTTTTAACTGATGTGGAGCATGGTTTTTTCTAATTTATATCTCCTGCACGAGAGAAATTTTTGTGGGGTTCACAATTTGAGAAAGGAAAACAAAAGGAGCTAAGAGTAGCCGTGTGTGGGTGACAGCAAGCGCCTAGTATTGCATGTGCCCGCTGGCGCGTTACCTGCTATTTTTTTTTTTCTGATTTTCTTGTCATATTTTTCTTTTTCCTTTTTTTTTTCTTCTTCTTTTTCTTCCTTTTTTGTTCTCCTTCCTCTCTCTTCTAGTGTCATCTAAAAAATTATGTAAAATCCAGCAATGATATAGAAGCTCTAAGTTTTTGCACAAATTTTTAGATGTCAAGTAGGAGAGAATGAGGGAAGGAAAAAATGAGTATTAAGAATTAAAAAAAAAAAGAAAAAAAAAAAAGGAAATGCTTGGTTAACGCGTCAACAGGCGTGTGGAATGCACGCGCCTGGCTGGGCGCTTCTGGTGCGCCTCACGCACACTAGATGACTTCTATATCTTTTTAAGCGGGGCCCACTATTGAGACAAAAAAACAGTCTCTCCTACAACACCTTCAAATCTTCTCTCTCATATTTTTCTCTCTTCCACATAGGATTGCAAGCCTAAAAAACCTCCCAAAAAACACTCCCCAATAGAGGTTTTGGGATAGTTTTTTTGCACTGCTAAAAACTAATAGAGTGGTTTTTCACAAATTGGGGATGCTTAGTTTTTCCTTGTTTTATTCACCTTCAATGACCTTGGCTTTTGCAGGAGAAAAAAAATATAGGCAGCGTGCTTGGAGCGCACTGCGCGCCCCAGCGGGCGCGTGTTTCCCACACACTCGCTGGGACACTTCAACTGGCAGCCACTCTAAACCCACGACTTTTTTTGGTTTTGTTTTGTTTTTTGTTTTTTGTTTTTTGTTTTTTTTTTTTTAATTTTCAAATTCTTTTTTTTTTCCTTTTCTTTTTTCTTCCCCTTTTCACTATTCCTCTCTCTCCTACTCGGCTTCCTAAAACCAACTAAAAATATTCACTATTGAGGATGCTCTAATGGGGATGCTCTTATATTTTGAATTAAATAATTAGCATCAATATCAATGTCAGCCACCACATATCTTCGTAGACGCCGCTATTTGATAGTTTGCATATCTTCGTAGACGCCACTATTTTCCCAGAAAGTCATGAGGCTAGCTATGGAATTTTTATTAAAGATTCAAACGGGGTGTTTTTTGGAGCGCGCCATGGCCCTATGAACTGTCTAGATGATGCTCACCTCGCGGAATCTATGGCGGTTAAGGAAGTTTTGTCGTGGGCTAAGGATTTGAATCTTACGAAGGTTATAGTGTTTTCAGATTGCTAGACGGTATGCAATTTCTTTAAGAGCTCTTTGCCGGACTTTACTTATACGGGTTGTATTCTGAACAAGTGTCGGAAGATTCAACGAGACTTTGATTCTATGTCTCTTTGTTTTGTGTCTCAATCAGTGAACATAGTCGCTCATACCTTAGCTAGGGCTGCTCGTTCGTATTCTGGTCCTCTTACTTATTGAGGGCTGACAACAAATTTTTTTTAAAAAAAAAACAGAAAAAGTTTAAAAATACGCGCCTATCATACTGGGCGCGATTCTTGCGCTCCACGCGCAATCATCTGACTTTGTTTTCCCTTATCTCTCTTCTGGAGGCCCCCACCAAATCATTCATTGCAGGAGAAAAATCTAATAAAAAATCATTATCCACATTTGATAAAAACTAACCCTCTAGTTTCTTACTGTTTCAAAAACCATAAAAATGCTATTGAGGATGCTCTAAGAATATTTCATTAGAGCAACCTCAATAGCTCTAGTTCTTATGGGGTTTTGAGGTGTCAATTCGAAAAGAGAGGATGACAAGAAAAAAAATTTTAAAAAAGGGTTGACAACAATTTAAAAAAAAATAGAAAAAATTTTAAAATACGTTCCTACTGGACGAGATTCTTGGCTCCACGCTCAACCATCTGTCTTTGTTTTTCCTTTTTTCTCTCCTAACAGGCCCCACACCAAAATCATTCATTGCAGGAGAAAAATTTAACCAAAAATTATTTTCCATTATAAAAACTAACATCTAATTTTTTATTGTTTCAAAAATCATAAAAAATCTCTATTGGGGATGCCCGATGCTCATAGCATGAGGTATTTTATATATATATATATAAAGAAAAGTTACTGTGTAGATATTTTTATAGGGCAATTAATGAGGTATAAAAAGCGGCAAAAAGAAAAACAAAAGAGCATTAAAGAGTTAAAAAAAGAAATTTACCTTACCCCGTTACCCTACTCAACTTCCGCCACCCTCGTTTACTAGTTGCTTGCTACCCTTCTCCGTTTACGGAAGACTGTTCATACCATAATTAGCTTCACCATTTCTCTATTTCTGCGCTTTATTCTCTTCTTATTAAAATTCATCTTTGCACTATACTGGCTCTTCCAACAATGGAGGCTTTCAGCTTGCTCAAGTTCTGGCGCGGTGGTGGTGGTGGTGGAAGCGCCGCCTTCACCGGAGACGCCACCTCCGCTGCTCGTTCTACCGACACCACCACCACCATTCTCACTGCTGTCGCTCCTCATTTCTCCGACTCGGACTCCGACTCTGAAACTGCCTCCGAGGCTGACGGTCCCTTCTTTGACTTGGAGTTCACCGCCGTTCCGGATGAAGAAGATGGAGAGAGCAAGAGTGGTGGGAATGACGGCGGCGGCGGCGGAGGAGGAGGAGGAGGTGATCAGATTAACGGCCTTCAGCATGCAGGGGAAGATGACGGGAGCGAGGCTGATGACTCGGAGAATGAGGAAGGCGAGCTGAATTTGACTTTCTCTACGTCCTCCGCCTCCAGTGTGGACCGTACAGATCCGGACGTCTCGCTCTCTCCGTCGGATGATCTCTTCTTCAAAGGCCGCCTTGTTCCGGTTGAGTCTTCGTCTCTATTGCTGAACGAAACGGAAGCGAATTCGAAATTCCCGGTGTCTCTGGTGAAAACGGCAACCAAGTTCAGAGTCCTGATGTTGAAATTGAAGAAGCCGAAAGCAAATGCAGAGCAGAAACCTGAAAAATCAGAGCCCGACGGAGTGAATCCAGCTAAACCGAAGCCGAGTTCGAGTCCGAAACGAAAGCCTGAGAATGAGAAAGATGAGAGTCAAAGTCGACCGGAGAAGAAGTTTTTCACGGTGAGATTCAAGGTCGAAGAAGTGAATATTAAATCCCTCTTTACCAGGGATAACAGTTCGAAGAACGCCAACAATGGCAAGGCAGCGCAGAAGACGAACGCTGAGGATTCACATTCAAATGTTGATTCGAATTCGAATTCGAGCTCAAGTTCACTTGCGGAAGAGAAGAAATTTTCGAAAGAAATGATGCAGAAATACTTGAAAATGGTGAAGCCATTGTACATCCGTGTCTCGAAGCGGTACGGCGAGAAATTGAGGTTTTCGGGACAGCTGAGCTTATCCGGAGCCGGAGCTAAGGCAGCTCTAGTAGCCTCTCCTCCGCCGCAGCCGACGGCGGAGAAAGGAGAAGCAGAAGCGGCAGAGGTAGCTGAGAAAACGGCGGTTTTGAGCAACGTCAAGAGTCTGAAGCAGGGGAACCTACCGGCGGGACTGCGAGTTGTCCGGAAACATTTAAGTAAAAGCCGATCTGCGCCGTCACCGGTGGTCCCGTCCGGTGAGTTGTCATCTCGACGACGCGACGACTCGCTGTTACAACAACAGGATGGAATTCAAAGCGCCATTTTACACTGCAAGAGATCTTTCAATTCCACCAGAGGTAATCCACTTTAATTAATTTAATTAAATCCCCTGAGGAAATTTCAATTTCACTATATCCAAAAACCAAAACCTATCCGACCATTTTAATTTTTGCGCTAATTATATTGCTCAACAAATGATAAACTTTGATTTTCAGACTCAAATTTGTCCATTTTATCACGCACAACGAGCGATGCATCGCACGAGAAACCCATAAACTTGCTCGCCGTCGCCGATGACTCTTCCTCACCAAAGGGAGCGAAACCCCAAAGCGGTAAATTATCGATTTAGAATATTTTACTGTAGCTAATTACTTTAGTAGGTAAACCTTAGTAAATAGGTAAAACATTATCGCACTCCAGTCTTTAGGGAAGAACTCAATTCAAGAACCAAGCAGTGTTAATCCCTCCCTCCGGACATCTAGGGAAAATCTCCGGCCATTAGGCGGTGGCCGGAAAAAATCGAACTTAGATTCAGTGAATGGATGCTTGTTTAGAAGCTAGCAAATGGTTCTCTTTACAAATGCCAATAAAGTAAAAACTGTGGGCTAGGAGGATGAAGTTTTGATCAAGTCAAATGCTTGTTTATGAGCTATAGGATCAGCCATCCATGAGCTTAGGTAGGGGAAAAAGTTGTTGGGAAGCCATATATTTCCAGTTTGATGCCATAGGTTCTCAACACTGAATGAGTAGTCAATTATGAGATATGCTTTAATCTGCCCTATATATATTAGCTGTGAATGATTATGTGTATCTACTTTGATTCTCTTTTCCTGTAAAAGCTTCATCTTTTGTTCTTTCTATGGGAGATGAAATAGTTGTATCTAAAGTTATATATGTAATAAGTTTGGGAGTGCATAGATTTGTATGGTTGTATGATTGGTGGAGTCTACTTTTGTGTGGAGTTAAGTTTATAGCAATGCAATGATGAACCCCAAGTAGTTGTGGGAGTGATTGCATCTCCAACTGTGGTGGTTTTTGAAAAAAAAAAAAAAGTGATTTTAGTGCACGTGTCCGCTGGGCGGGCAAGTTGCGATGAACGCACAACTCAGGTACCCATTCTTCTCTATGCGGGCCCCACATTTTCAGACCAAGAACCACTCTGATGGTAGAAACTCTATTTCATTTCTCTCTTCCACATCATCTTTGTTTTTTCAAAAACCACTCCAAAATCCATAGATGGAGATGGTGTGTGTTTTCAAGGTGGGAGAAGCCAAGAATTAGCATGCATGATGAGTGTGCTTTTGAGCTTGTCAAAAAGTGTGAAAAAGAATGGAGTCTTTAGTGGTCAACAAATGGGGAAAGTGGTAAACAAAAGATGACTATAAAAACCCGTCTTTTAAGCCCTAACTTTGCTTTTTGTTGTTATTTGTAAAATGGGGAGAACTCAAATTTCATCCCCAATATCCGTTGATGTTTGTAGTTTGTCCAACTTTAGAGTGGAAAGGTGGTGTTTAGTGGGGGATTTGATGTTGATATTGTTGGAGATAGCTTTGTCCTCTTCCTGTGCGGTTGCAACAATTCCTCAATGGCCCCAAAAATTAAAAGAAAAAAAAGATCATGTCCTTTGACTCCACTCTATTCGTACGTAACAATGTTATCCAATTTAGTGTAATGTGACAAACAGTGAATACATGGATTAAGGATGGGATGTGCTCCAATTCTAACATCTAATTCACGGGGTAAAATCATACCAGACAATAATATTTTATAATACAACTAAGTTGACACCTTAAGCAAATGTTTTTTGGGAATATAATCTAAAGACAAGTACAAACTCTAACACACATTTGCTTTTACGGAGGAAATTAAGGGAAAGGAATGACAATTTAATAGGAAAGGAAATAAAGCGAAAATTTAAGCCAAATCGCTTGTGTTCAGATGGCATGTGGTGACCTCTCTTATGTGGGAGGTCATGAGATCGAGTTTTAGTGGAGGCGTTGTTGATTCTTTGAAAGTATATTTGAACATCTACTACAATGTAATAGAGTTGGTAGTATTCAAAACAAAAAAATGTAATAGAGTTGGTAGTATTCAAAACAAAATAATCACATTGACTTAAGTCTAAGACTTAAAAAGTTACTTAGTGGAGGCGTTGTTGATTCTTTGAAAGTATATTTGAACATCTACTACAATGTAATAGAGTTGGTAGTATTCAAAACAAAAAAAAAAAACACAATGTAATAGAGTTGGTAGTATTCAAAACAAAAGAAAAAAACACATTGACTTAAGTTGGGAGTTTGAACCCTCTCTCGTCTAGAAAAATTGCTCATGACACCTCCATGCGCATGGTGCATACGATGCAAAACGATGTCCTTTTGACTAAAAAACACGCGTCCCACTTAAAAAAAAAATCAGGTTCGATTCTCGGCAATAGCATTATTGTGGATATATAGTTATGAATTTCTGGATATATAGTTATTAATTTATGGATATTTAGTTCATTCATTGTAGATATTTACTTCATTCATTCACTGTGGATATATAATTATGAATTTATTGATATATGGTTATGAATTTCTGGATATATAGTTATGAATTTATGGATATTTAGTTCATTCATTGTGGATATTTAGTTCATTCATTGTGGATATTTAGTTCATTCATTCAGTGTGGATATATAATTATGAATTTGTGGATATATAGTTATGAATTTATGGATATATAAAAATGTTATTGCCGGGAATCGAACCTGATTTCTTTTTTAAGTGGGACGCGCGTTTTTTTAACCAAAACGACGTCGTTTTGCATCGTATGCACCGTGCGCAAGGTGCATTCGGTTGCACAGCATAATTTGCGTGACACCTCATGACAAAAAAAAAAAGGATCCGGTGCGAATGGAATTAGTCTTGAGTATGGTACGGACATGCTCAGGACACCTCATTGTTTGACAAAAAAGGAGTTACTTATGATAAAAATTGTAATATATATATACTTATGACCGTAAGACAGTCTCATAAGAGAATTTGTAAAATTTATTATACTAAACATAAAATTATATATAGAATTCTCTTTAATTAGGAAAGAGTGTTCTAATTGTGATGCGGAAAGACAATTGGTATATGGAAAACTGGAAACTCCTTTACATTTTAATGATTTTGAGAATAGGCATCAATGCCGCCATGTCCATTTTTCTTCTTTTTGAAGAAGCACTCAGTTAAATAATAATAATAAATAAATAAAATTAGGAGTTTAGAAGGGAAAGTAATACCAAAACTTAGTATTCCTATTATTAGACAACTTTTTTTTAGGTAGTTTACTATTTTACATTTGTAAACTCTCTAGCTTATATATAGTCCTTTTAAGTCCAAAAAAGAATCCAAGTTCTCTATACAATCTCTCAATTACTGTACTCATTCCTTTAAACAATGTCCCAACAAAACGTTGTTCCAACTATTTTTCCATATGAAATTACTCCAACTCAATCTTCAACCCCATCTGATTCGTTACATATAATCCCATGGATCAAATTACATCGTGTGTTGATCATAGTTATGGTTATAATTGGAATCATTCTTATTGCATGCTTATATCTCAATTATAACCGCGGTAGCAAAAGAAACAACGGAGATTTAGAAGCTGGCCAAGATACTGTTGCACCTATAGCATCAAATGCAGCACCAACGACATCAAATGCAACACCTACAACATCAAATGCATAATCATCTGAGATGATGATTTATTAGCATTTAGGTTACAAAATATATATGTTTAAAGTTTTCTATATTTTTCCGTTTGGATATACTTATTAGTATTTAGTTCGTTAGTATATGTCTATGTTGTCAAACACATTACTTTTAATGCAAGTAAGCTCAATTTTGGCACATAATTACTAGCACCATGATTATTTTTCAGTAATTATGTGAGAATATATACCAAGTATTCAACTTATTATTATTTTTTTTAGTTTTGATGTTGATACTGTTGGGGATAGCTAGCTTGTAGTCCTGTTCCTGTGCGGTTGCAACAATTCCTCAATGGCCCCAAAAATTAAAAGAAAAAAAGATCATGTCTTTTGACTCCATTCTATTCGTACGTAACAATGTTATCCAATTTAGTGTAATGTGAGAAACAGTGAATACATGGATTAAGGATAGGATGTGCTCCAATTCTAACATCTAATTCACGGGGTAAAATCATACGAGACAATATTTTATAATACAACTAAGTTGACACCTTAAGCAAATGTTTTTTGGGAATATAATCTAAAGACAAGTACAAACTCTAACACACATTTTGCTTTTACGGAGGAAATTAAGGGAAAGGAAGGACAATTTAATAGGAAAGGAAATAAAGTGAAAATTTAAGCTAAACACCTTGTGCTCAGATGACATGTGGTGACCTCTTTCATGTGGGAGGTCATGAGATCGAGTCTTAGTGGTGGCGTTGTTGAATCTTTGAAAGTATATTTGAACATCTACTACAATCTAATAGAGTTAGTAGTATTCAAAAGAAAAAAAACCACATTGACTTGTTTGTGACTTAATGGGAACATTGTTCATATTATTTTTGTTTTAGTATTTTGTCGGTTAAAGTACCTGCTAGGTCCCTGTACTATAGCATTTTGTTCATTTTAGTCCTTGTACCTTAATTTTGTTCAATTCAATCCTTATACTTTAAAATTTAGAACAATTAAGGACAAAATTTAACACCGTTTATTTTTTCCGTTAAGTTTTCCCACATGACGTTCGATTTGTCATGTTAGATTTTGTCCAGAAATAATATTGTTTTATGCCACACCACAAAAGTTGACATGGCAATACCATATCACAAAATTTGACATGACAAATCGAACGCCACGTGAGCAAACTTAACAGAAAAAATAAACAGTGTTATGTTTTGTCCTTAATTGTTCTAAATTTTAAAGTACAGGGATTGAATTGAACAAAATTAAGGTACAAGGACTAAAATGAACAAAACGCTACAGTACAAGGACCTAGCAGGTACTTTGACCTATTTTCTCACGATTTTCCTATTTTACCCTTCTTTACTATTATTATTATTATTATTATTATTATTATTATTATTATTATTATTATTATTATTATTATTATTATTATTATTATTATTATTGTTGTTGTTGTTGTTGTTGTTGTTGTTGTTTCCTTGAATATCCCTACATTCTGTTGGTGTAAACTTTAGTAACGGAATATTCAATTAACTATTTATTATTCTTAACATACTCATTGATTTTCAGAAAGAAAGATTTTAGGTTCAAATCACATCCCAATTAGAATTGGCATAATTGTTAAATATATACTACGAATATCTTAGAGTATATTAAAAAAATACAATATAAAATTTAACATTAACTTTGGTCAATTAATTAGCCAAGCTATATACATATCATTCAAAGTTAAGTATCAAAGATTATAAATAATGAACCTTAAAAATCATTTTCTTGCTTTTATATATATATATATATATATATATATATATATATATATATATATATATATATATATATAATCGATCTAGGTTACATTTTTAATTTTTTTTAATTAATCTTCTTTTAATTATTTAAAACAAAACTTAATATTTTAATTATTTGGAATGGTTTAAGTTATTATTGTATTAATAATTTATAATATCTATTAAATATATATGTCCGTAACCAGGTGTCGAAATTGTGTGTTTATATTCATGGTATTTAATATTAATATATTATTCCATTGTGAAATTTTGACACAAACAATGCTCTTAGTCCATCTCGAGACGTATGAGGTTATGATGCAATTTAATACTTATGTTGAAAAATGTAATACTAATCATGAATAAATTATTTGTTACTTATTAAAAAAAGTATAATACTTTTACTGGTAAATGTAATACTAATCATTGATAAATAATTTAATT